TGCTGCTTTTGGATGGAATGCTCTATAAATATCAGTTGAGTCCGTTTGGTCTAATGTGTTATTTAAGACCTGCGTTTCCTTACTAATTTCTGTCTGGATTATCTGTCCATTGATGTAAGTGGGGTATTAAAGTCCCTCACTATTATTATGTTACTGTCAGTTTCTCCTTTTATGTCTGTTAACATTTGCATTATATATTGAAGTGATCCTATGTTGGGTGCATATATATTTACAATTTCTTTATCTTCTTGTTGGATTGATCCTTTGATCATTATGTAGTGTCCTTGTCTCTTATAAGGACAAGGACACTTGTCAGTGTCTTTATATATATATATATGTGTGTGTGTGTGTGTGTATATATATATATACATATATATATGTATATATATGTATGTATGTGTATATACATATATATATATATAACATCTTTATTGGAGTATAATTGCTTTACAATGGTGTGTTAGTTTCTGCTTTATAACAAAGTGAATCAGTTATACATATACATATGTCCCCATATCTCTTCCCTCTTGCATCTCCCTCCCTCCCACCCTCCCTATCCCGCCCCTTTAGGTGGTCACAAAGCACCGAGCTGATCTCCCTGTGCTATGTGGCTGCTTCCCACTAGCTATCTATTTTACGTTTGGTAGTGTCTGTATGTCCATGCCACTCTCTCACTTCATCCCAGCTTACCCTTCCCCCTCCCCATATCCTCAAGTCCATTCTCTAGTAGGTTTGCATCTTTATTCCCATCTTGCCCCTAGGTTCTCCCATCCACAGGGTCTCTGTTATGGATCTTAATCACTCATCGTGTTTGCCTTAAAGTAAAATGAGTTTTCTATGAAAAGAGAAGTGGGAGGTTATTGATCATGCGTCGTACATCAAGGGAAGCTTCAGTTTGTTTTCGTTTGGATAAAGTGAAGGGAAATAGTTGTTACTGCAGCAGAGACCCGGGAAATGATGGACACTTAGGTTGCTTCCATGTCCGGGCTATTGTAAATAGAGCTGCAATGAACATTTTAGTACATGACTCTCTTTAAATTATGGTTTTCTCAGGGTATATGCCCAGTAGTGGGATTGCTGGGTTATATGGTAGTTCTATTTTTAGTTTTTTAAGGAACCTCCATACTGTTCTCCATAGTGGCTGTATCAGTTTACATTCCCACCAACAGTGCAAGAGGGTTCCCTTTTCTTCACACCCCCTCCAGCATTTATTGTTTGTAGATTTTTTGATGATGGCCATTCTGACTGGTGTGAGGTGATACCTCATTGTAGTTTTGATTTGCATTTTTCTGACGATTAATGATGTTGAGCATTCTTTCATGTGTTTGTTGGCAATCTGTATATCTTCTTTGGAGAAATGTCTAGGTCTTCTGCCCATTTTTGGACTGGGTTGTTTGTTTTTTTGACATTGAGCTCCATGAGCTGCTTGTAAATTTTGGAGATTAATCCTCTGTCAGTTGCTTCATTTGCAAATATTTTCTCCCATTCTGAGGGTTGTCTTTTCATTGTTTATGGTTTCCTTTGCTGTGCAAAAGCTTTGAAGTTTCATTAGGTCCCATTTTTTAATTTTTGTTTTTATTTCCATTTCTCTAGGAGGTAGGTCAAAAAGGATCTTGCTGTGATTTATGTCATAGAGTGTTCTATGTTTTCCTCTAAGAGTTTGATGGTGTCTGGATTTACATTTAGGTCTTTAATCCATTTTGAGTTTTTTTTTGTGTATGGTGTTAGGGAGTGTTCTAATTTCATTCTTTTACATGTAGCTGTCCAGTTTTCCCATCACCACTTATTGAAGAGGCTGTCTTTTCTCCACTGTATATTCTTGCCTCCTTTATCAAAGATAAGGTGACCATATGTGCGTGGGTTTATCTCTGGGCTTTCTATCCTGTTCCATTGATCTATATTTCTGTTTCTGTGCCAGTGTCTTTATATTTTAAACTCTATTTTGTCTGATATAAGTATTGCTACTCTAGGTTTCTTTTGATTTCCATTTGCATGGAATACATTTTTCCATCCCCTCACTTTCAGTCTGTAGATCTGAACTGAATCTCCTGTAGGCAGCATATATATGGGTCTTATTTTTGTATTCATTCAGCCAGTCTATGTGTTTTGGTTGGAGCATTTAGTCCATTTACATTTAAGGTAATTACTGATATGTGTGTTCTTACTGACATTTTGTTAATTGGTTTGGATTTGTTTTTCTTGGTCTTTTTCCTTTTCTTCTTTTGTTCTCTTCTCTTCTGATTTGATGACTACCTTTAGTGTTATGTTTGGACTTCTTTCTCTTTTTTGTGCATCTGTCTATTATAGATTTTTGGTTTGTGGTTATCATGAGGTTTTTATACAGCAATCTATAAATAAATATTTTATTTCAGTTATTATATTCTTCAATTGTTTGGTTGTTCTTTATATTTTCTAATTCTTTGTTAAAAGTCTCTAACTTCTCACTCTGTGCATCCATTTTCTTCTTGAGTTCCTTGATAATCTTTATGAGTATTACTCTAAACTCTTTCTCAGATAGATTGCCTGTCTCCACTTCACTTAGTTCATCTTCTGGGGTTTTATCTTGTTCCTTCGTCTGGAACATATTCCTCTGCCACCTTATTTTGTCCAAGTTGCTATTTGTATTTTTGTATATATGGTATATTAGTTATGTTTCTAACCTTGGAGAAGTGACCCTCTGTAGGAGGTGTCCTATGGGTCCCAGCAGTGCATTCCCCTCTTGTTACCCAAGCTGTATTCTCTAGGTGTTCCCCCTAAGAGGGCTGCTTGGGTCCTTCTGTTGAGGCAGCCTATGTGGGCAGTCTAGTAGGCTTGGTTGGCCCCTAGTTTGGTTGGTGTCAGCCCCTGTCTTGTACAGATGCTGCTGGCTGCTGTTTAGTGTGGTCTGGTCATGAGGTGCCTGGTTTTGGAAACCAAGTGGGCTCCCCAGGGCTAGTGCTGGCTCCCTGGTAGGCAAAGTCAGGATCCTGAAGACTCGGGCTGTTGCCCACCCACTAGCAGGTGAAGCCAGATCCTGGGGTTAGTGCCAGACTACTGGCAGGCAGAGCTAGTTCCCAAGTCTTGCTGCAGGGTCCAGGGATCTCAGAGCTTGTTTCAGACCATTGGTGGAAGGGGGGCAGTTCCTGACACAGTTGGGTATGGGGTCTGGGGTGTCCTGAAGTTTGCATTCACATGATAGTGGGCAGGGCCAGGGTCCAGGTGGTCCCAGGGTAGGATCTGGCCTGCATTGCAGGATTGTGGATTTCTTGCTTCTGGTGTCTGCCCCCTGGTGGGTGAGGCTGATCTAGAGGCTTGTGCAGGCTTCCTGGTGGGAGGGGCTGGTACCTGCCCACTGGTGTGTGGAGCTGGGTCTTGGCCCTTTGGTGGGCTGGGCTGTGTCTAGAGGCTTTTGTGGGCTCTGTAGTCTTTAGGCAGCCTGTCTGTGGATGGGTGGGGCTGTGTCCCTGCCAAGTTAGTTGTTTGGCCTGAGATGTCCCAGCACTAGTGCACCTACAGGCTATTGGGTGGGCCCAGGTCTTGACTCTAATGAGCCAATATGGCAGCTGCCAGGAGTGTTCATGTGGCTGAATGTTTAATATGTCTGCAGCTAGTTTCTATATTCCCAGGGTGAGCTGTAGCCACCCCTACCTCTCCAGGAGACTCTCCAAGACCAGCAGGTAGGTCTGGCCCAGGCTCCTATCAAAGTATTGCTTTTGCCTTGCGTCCTGGTGAATGGGAGCTTTTGTGTACTCCCTTTAAGAGTGAAGTCTCTATTTCCCCTAGTCCTATGGGGCTCCTGCAATTAAGCCCAGCTCACCTTCAAAGCCAAATGCTCTGGGGGCTCATCTTCCTGGTGCTGCATCCCCAGGTTGGGGAGCCTGATGTGGGGCTCAGAACTCTCACTCCTGTGGGAGAACCTCTGCAATATAATTATTCTCCAGTTTGTGGTTCCCCCACCCAGGGGTATGGGATTTGATTATATTGCAAGTCTGCCCCTCCTACCTGTCTCATTGTGGTTCTTTATATCTTTAGTTGTAGGAGATCTTTTCCTGTAGGTTCCAGGTTTTTTTTGTTTTGTTTTTTATTGATGGTGGTTCTGGAGATAGTTGTGATTTTGGTGTGCTCATGAGAGGAGGTGAGCTCAGGGCCTTTCTACTCTGCCACCTTGGCTACAGTCTCCCATCCCACAGCATTTTGATTAGAAACCATGCTCTCAAAACTCACTTTCTCGATAAAATGGAAACACACAGAATTTTTATAGCAACGTGAATATAGTACATACATATACATTTTGAACAGTATGTTTTGAGGCAGATACCTTATCTTGCCATTTCAAAGAAGAAAGGTCACATTCATAGATGACGTTATAGATATTCAAAACTGAAATAAAAATAATCTCCTCCAATACAAAGTTAGAGACATACGAGAAATGAAAACCATAGTTTTTGAAGCCCTCATAGCACAAGATGAGAAAGCCAAAAGATCAAGTGGGATAACTTCTGAAGAAAAGCCACCGCGTTTGGTCAGGAAGAGATTATTAGTGATCTGAACAAATAACATCAGAGAAATACCAAGGTGTGAAGCTTAACTTTTTAGACAAGGGCTGAGAACAAATGGTTCAGGAGAATATAAATGGGAAAAGGAAAACTGGGCCATATCTTCATGAATAAATAATAGAGAGAGGGACTGATGAATGGAACAGGGTACCTTGTTTTTCGATCTAAGAGAGACTTAAAGATGTTAAAAATCAGCAAAAAGCAGAGTGAATGAGACTCTAAGAAATTTTCAGAAATTAAAGGTGTTTGAGGGAGGCTCCAGCGAGGTAGAAAGATGAGAAACATAAGCCAAGGGGAGAAACTGGCTTCATGACAAGTCAAGAAATAATTTTTAGATTCAGAGCTGCTGTCCCAGCAGCCACCACTCACTGAGGATTTGCACCAGAATCAAGCCTACTCGTGTATTGTATACATAGACAATAGAGCCCAGCTGACTGGATTTTTGTATATTCTTCTATTCCCCAGGAGAGAGACAGCTCCCATAGTGGAAGGAGTGTGGTCATTTAGTCACCAGGCACAGCACTGCTTCTGTGGCTACTTCTCAGCTCCTGCATGTCATCAGCATCACCTAGATTTCCAGCTGACTTGGGAGGGGCCATTCCAGCTGACTTGAGATGGACACCACAAGTTTGTATCTAAAGTTTTGGCTTAGATTCTGAGAATCAAATAGAAGAATTTTATAAACAAAGTTTGAGGAATTAATGACTGTAGTTTTAGCCTTGGTACACACTCTGCATATTTAGATAATCAGACTTGTAATGAATTCTAACTGGGATGTGATCCCTCAGGAACTTAGTAGCCTGAGTCTTCAACTAGGTTACACTGCTCAGAACTGTGGCCATTCTCAAAGTGAGAACTCAGGAATCTTTAAGAGGAAATCAAACATTTCCTGCTCCTCTTAGAAGCAGAAAATCTATGGAGTACTATAGGGAAATTTCCGTGGAAACTTGTCTCCCCCTATAGCATATCTAATCCCTCCATGTTACGAGTCCACTTTACTGCCCCCAAGCCTGGTCCTGAATGCCTTTGAGGGTTCACTCAGAGATGGCACAGGAAATACTCCAGCAATGTGCCCTCTCACAGGCTATTTATTGCGTGTGTAGAAAGTCACAGAGAAGCACTTTTGCACCAGTCTTATTCCTGTCATTTGTTTTCTTCTTGCCTTTTTTTTTTTTTTTGCCTATATCTAATTTATATTTTCCTGTATAACATGCATCCATTGAAACCACTTTAAATGCTTCTTGGGAACAACACAGTACATAAGTAAAGAAGAAGTAAGTGAAAGCTACTGGCCTGAGGATTCTGCTCCAAATATCTGTTTTGATGCACTTGATGAAATTAAGCCTTATTCCCGACTAAAGCTCAGAGAAGAGCCAGGCCAACCTGATAATTTTGGAGCAACCTTTCTCCTGGCACTACTCAGCCTTGCAGAGTTATTCCCCAAGCAAAGGCATCCAGGCAGGTTTGACTACTCAGTGCCCCAGGAGGAAGGGTCTGTGCCTCTCTGTAATAGGCCCTACCTCTCTCTCTCATTTTCCTCAGCCCCTTCTGGTGGCTTCATCAGTCCATTTGTGCTTCATGTAGAGACTCTCCTTAAGCAGACTGTAAGTATATGGCCTGAAAGGAAGTGCGTGCCTGCGTGTGTGTGTGTGTGTGTGTGTGTGTGTGTGCGCGTGCGTGCGTGCATGTTCCTCAACAGTATCTTTATGTGTATGGCCTTAAGCTCATTTTAGATCCTTTTGTATTAACATCCGTTGTTTCTCCCAGTCTCATTAATTACATGTTAGAGAATATTGGTTAAATACCTGCACTGTGCAAAGGTGTCTTTGGGATTTTTACTATCCATAATGTAACTGCGTCTAAATTGGTAAAACAGAAAAAATAAAATTTTAATGGATAATTCAGTAGCTGTGGGACTTCTGGTCTGGATAAGATGGCATAGACCTCTTTTTCCCTGCTCCTCCTCCCTAAGCACAACTTTATATATCCTAGAAATGACACAAGAGACAAGCAAAAGATGACTCTGAAGGGGGCTAAGAAGAAGACGATCTGGTTTGGGAACCCAGGACCAGATGACAACACACAGGCAGGGCATCTTGTGTCCCCCAACCAACAGAAGGCAGCCACCCAGACCTGATGTTTTTCTGACTACCCACTTGGCAACAGAAAGTAGTCCAGTAGCTTGTTCTTCCCCCTAGATGTAGTGGGAGTCCCTCTGACAACTTCAGGCAAGGGGGAACAACTGGGAGTCCTGCCAAAAATAAGTGACCAGGGGAAGCATTCTCCTATCCTGCTGGGCCAGAGACTCCTCTCTTCTATGGAGAGATACTGATGTGGATGGGAGGAACCAGTAAGAGACACCCAGGTAAAGCAGGTGCCCCACCTGGGGAAGCCTCTTTGTCCCCAAGGGCCAGAGACTCTCCTCCTCTGCCCAGAGACATTAGGGCTGACTGGCGGAATCATGAAAAGAACCTGTCACAGCTAGCAGCCCTGTAGCTAGCAGCCTGGTCCCAGAAATCACTTTATCTCTCCTCCCTGCCCAGAGAAACCTGGGTAGCTGGGGGCGGGGGGTGGTTACTAATAGAAGGATTTCCTCACTTGCCTCCCTCAGGCAGTCACAAAGTCTCTGAAAATTAAACTGCTGGAATCACAGCCCACAAACGTAGGCTAAGACTCATGTGTTAAACCTAAATAGAGTAAATTCCTGTAAAATAAAATATTTAAATAGGTCCCAGATTGTCCTAACACAATAGACAAAATGTCCGGGATATAAATCAAGAACCTAGAAAATCACAACTTGAATGAAAAGTGAAATCAACTGCTGCCAACACTGAGATGAACCAAATGTTGGAGTTATCTGAAAAGAATTTTATGGCAGACATTATAAAAATGCTCCAACAACAATCAATTACAAATTGTCTTAAATAAAAATGTAGAAAATCCCAGAAAAGAAATAGAAGTTATGCAAAAAAACAAGTGGAAATTATAGAACTGAAAAATACAATAGAAATTAAAAACTTGCTGGATGAGCTCAACAGAAGACTGGAGATGATGAAGAATAGAATCAGTGAACATGAGGACAGAACAGTAGAATTCACCCAATATGAATAATGGAAAAGAGATTGGGGAAAAAATGACCAGAGCTTCAGGGACCTGTGGAACAATAACAAAATATCCAACATTCATTTCATTGGAGTCCCAAAAAGTAAAGGAGAAAGAGTGGGGAAATGAATAAGCATTCAAAGAAACAATGACTGAAAACTTCCCAAATTTGATGAATGACATCAACATAGAGGTCCAAGAAGCTGAATGAACTCTAAACAGGATAAATCCAAAGAATCCATGCAATACACATCATAATTAAACTTTCGAAAACTAAAGACAAAAAAATCCTGAAAGCAGCCAGAGAGAAACAATGCATTCTCTATAGGGAAACACCAATCTGAATGTATTTCTCATGTGAAATCATGAAAAAGGAAATGGCCAAATATCTTTTTAAGCACTGAAAGAAAATAACTGTTGACCCATAATTTTATATCTGGCAAAACTAGTTTTCAGAAATGAAGGGAAAATAAAAACATTCACAGATGAATGAAAACTAAAAGATTTTGTGACTAGCAGATACATCCTGGAAAGACTGGACAAAGGAATTTCTTCAAACGGAAAGAAAATGATAAAAGGAAACTTAAGCCTCAGAACGCAAGAAGAAACAATAGAAAGATAGGAAATATGAGTCCATACAATAGACATTTTTTGAGTATTAGATGGTATTATGATTTGTTTCAATAAAATATGATTTATAAAACCCAAAAGGAAAAAATCTCACAAAAGAAATAGAAGTTATGCAATGAGTTAACAATGATATGTAAAGGTGGGAAAGGTAAAGAGACGTAATTGGAAGTGAGGTTTCTATATTTCATTTTAAATGGTAAACACTGTGATACCAAGTACAGAGTTACAAGTAGCACCCAGAGCAACCACTATGAAAACTGCAGAGATGAACTCAAAAGTGCTATAAATTAAGATGGAATCCTAAAACATGTTCAAATAACCTGCAGAAAGGCAATAAAAAGAATAAAGAGCAACAACAACCAAAGGAAACAAGTAGAAAATAAATAATAAAATAGCATCGTAAAGTGCTAACATATCAATAATTACCTTAGTTGTAAATGGTCTAAACATACCAATCAAAAGACAGAGATTAGCAGAGTAGATTAAAAAATTAAAAAACCAAATCCAACTATATGCTGCATATAAGAAACTCACTTCATATTCAACCACAGGTAGGTTGAAAGTAAAAGGATGGGAAAAGATATACTATGTACACATTAATAATAGAGAAATAAAAAGCAGTGACAATATTAATATCTTATAAGGTAGCCTTCAAAGCAAAGAAAATTATCAGAGAAAAAAAGGGATATTATATAATGATGAAAGGCTCAATCTGCCAGGTAGACACGATATACTAATGTGTATAAACCACAGAGCCTCAAATACATGAAGCAAAAACTTTTAAAGCTGAAATGAGAAAGAAGAATGTATGATTATAGCTGGGAACGTTAACACTGCTCACATTCAGCAACCAATAGAACTGTTAGGCAAAAAATCACAAGGATATAGAAGATCTGAACAACACTATCATCAGGATCTAATTAACACATATAAAACAGACCATCCAACAACAGTAGACTACATTTTTCTCAATTTCCTGTGAAACATTGACCAAGTAGGAAAAAAAAAAACCACATAAAACAAATCTTGACGAATATAAAATAACTGAACTCATAAAGTATGTGTGCTCTGACTATGGTGGAATCAAACTGGAAATCTGTAAGAAAGACAACAGGAAACTCTCAAAACACTTGGAAACTAAGCAACACATTTCTAAATAATTATGGGTCAAATAATAAGTCTCAAGGGAAATTAAAAAGTATGTAGAACTAAATAAAAAAACTTAAAGTATGTAGGATGCAACTAAAGCAGTATTGAGAGGGAAATTTATAGGTCTAAATGCTTACATTTAAAATGAGGAAAGGTGTCATATCAATAACTTCTTTCCTCCAGAAACTAGAAAAAGGAGGAAAATAAACCCAAAGCAAGCAACAGGAATGAGATAATACAGAAAATAAAATTGGAAATAGGAAAAAATTACTGAAAACAAAACCCCAAGGAAACAAAAAGTTCATTCTTCAAAAAAATAATGAATTTGGTAAACCTCTAGCAAGACTGACAAAAATAGAACACAAAACACCAATATCAGGAATGAAATCAGATATATCATTCCACATAGTGCAGCCATTAAAAAAAATAAGGGAGTACTACATACAACTGTATGCTTATAAATATGACAACTTAGAAAAAAAATGGAACAATTCCTTAAGAACCACAAACTGCTAAAATTCAAGTAAGATGAAATAGAAAATCTGAATAGCCCTATAACCATGAAGGAAATTGAACTTTTAATTAAAAACTCTCCAAAATGAAATCTCAATGCCCAGGTAGTCTCACTGGATAATTGTATCAAACCTTTAAAGGGTAGTTAA